TATAGAACTGACAGAAACATTGTTTATTTAGTTTGTATTTATTTAATAATTATCATGGGATATTACTGTAATAAACTCACTTCATAATTTAATGGTTCCAGACTTCAAAATTATCCTACAGCTATCTATAGCTAATTAGTCCTCTGAGTTTACTGATTAAATTTATTTATACTGCGTAGGTCCACCGAGGTTCAATCATCTCATCTTTGTGGCTGAAAAAGAGTTGACGGAAGAACCAAAAAACAATATATTTTAAAACATTTGAAAGTGTTAAAGCCTAGCCTACAGATATTTATTTTACTATATAGACATCATTCTTACAAATCAGATATATAGGAAGGGCAAATAAAAACATTTAATTAAATTATTTTTCTCTTGGACTTTCCCATATATCAGCAATGTTTGGACTTCCTTGCTTTGCAACACTCTTGCACAACTAGGTGCAGTAATTTTTGAGTCAGTGACTTTTTTCTTCACACTCATCCCAAGATTAAAAAAACAATAGTAATATCAGTCATCAAAGTCTGGTGGACATCGAAGAACCACTTTTTTTTTTTATTCTTTCTACACATACATTGTGAGTAATTTAAGTATTATTAAAAGAGGCAATGGTCTGAAGGACTGAAGATAAGCAAGACAGGATGACTCAGTGTTTAGAAAGAAAAAGAAAATTGCAAGGCTACTTCAGATCTTCTAACAACTTCAGAATAAAAATGTAAAGTGGAAAAGGATACTAACAAATTTTGCTTTTTGCTCCTGTGAATGTATTTTTTTCCCCTTAATAGCTATTGATGCTCCTCTTATTCCTTTCCATTTCTTACATACTCATCTTCTTCCAATAAAGTTTCTTTCTGTCTCTTGCTATTCTTCTTGGGATTCCTAATTATTTTCATAATTTCAATTATGAAAACTTGGTAAAAGGGTAAATGATTTCCTCAGTGAAGTCCAGTCATTGTCAGAGCAAATATAACTGACAGATAAAAAAGCTGTACAGACCATGTATCCTTTCATATTTTGCATGTCTCAGCTAATTCCATACGGTTAAATATTCTGAATCCTATGAAGAAGACCTACATCTCTTTTTTGATATGTCCTCATTAAAGAAGTGCATACGTACTTATACCAACAAAACCAGACTTGACCATTAACAAAAAAATGCTTGTTCTTAAACTTTTTTTCTCTAATAGAATAATTATTCAGACATAAACTAATAGGTTTTTTAAAAGTCTAATATTCAATATTTTTTGATAGTTTTATTGCTAGAAGACTTGCATGTAGTTGATATTTATCAGAAGCCTCTGAGAGGCTTCTGTAAACTTTATATCAAACTGAACTCTGAACTTCCACGCATAACTAAATCAGACAAAACCAATATTTACCCTAGGAAATTAAATATATTGACTTGAGTATTTGAGTAATATTATTATGGAAAAAATATAAATAAGTATGTGATTATACATGTTCAAACAAGGGCAAATTACAGACATTTTATCAATTTTCTAGTCCAGTGCAGCAATGAAAAGCAGATTTTATAGAATCATAGAATAGTTAGGGTTGGAAAGGACCTTAAGATCATCAAGTTCCCCCCCCTTGCCATGGGCAGGGACACCTCGTTCTAAACCATATCACCGAAGGCCTCGTCCAACCTGGCCTTAAACACTGCCAGGGATGGAGCATTCACAACCTCCCTGGGCAACCTATTCCAGAGACTCACCACCTTAACAGGAAAGAATTTCCACCTCATATCCAATCTAAACTTCCCTTGTTTGAGTTTTAATCATTATCCCTTGTCCTATCACTGCAGTCCCTAATGAAGAGTCCATCCCCAGCACCCCTAAAGGCCCCCTTCAGATACTGGAAGGCTGCTATGAGGGCTGCACGCAGCCTTCTCTTCTCCAGGACGAACAGCTCCAACGTACAGGAGGTGCTCCAGTCCCCTGATAATTCTCGTGGCCCTCCTCTGGACTTGTTCCAACAGATCCATGTCCTTTTTATGTTGAGGACACCAGAACTGTACACAATACTCCAGGTGAGGTCCCACGACAGCAGAATAAAGGGGCAGGATCACCTTCAACTTGCTGGTCATGCTACTTTTGATGAAGCCCAGGATACGCTTGGATTTCTGGGCTGCAAGCACACAGTAAAGCTGGCTCATGTTCATTTTCTCATCGATCAGCACCCCCAAGTCCTTCTTCACAGGGCTGCTCTGAATCCCTTCTCTGCCCAGCCTGTAGCTGTTCCTGGGATTGCTCCAACCTAGGTGTAGGACATTGCACTTGGCATGGTTAAACTTCATGAGGTTGGCATCATCCCACCTCACAAGCATGTCAAAGTCCCTCTGGATAGCATTCATTCCCTCCAGAGTACCAACTGAGCCACACAGCTTGGTGTCATCAGCAAACTTCCTGAGGACGCACTCAATCCCACTGTCCATGACACAGACAAAATGTTGAACAAGACCGGTCCCAACACTAATCTCTGTGGGAAATCACTCATTACTGGTCTCCAACTGGACACTGAGCCATTGACCACAACCCTTTGCGTGCAGACATCCAGCCAGTTCTTTATCCACTATAGGTCCACCTACCAAATTGATGTCTCTCCAATTTAGAGACAAAGATGTCGTGTGGGACAGTGTCGAACGCTTTACACAAATCCAGGTAGATGACATCAACTGCTTTACGGCTGTCCATCAGTTCTGTAGCCCCATCATAGAAGGCCACCAAATTGGCCAGGCAGGATTTCCCCTTAGTGAAGCCATGCTGGCTGTCACCAAGCACCTTTTTGGTTTTCATGTGCCTTAGCATGCCTTCCAGGAGAATCTGCTCCAAGATTTTGCCAGGCACAGAGATGAGACTGACTGGTCTATAATTCCCCGGGTCATCCATTTTCCCCTTCTTGAAAATGGGGGTTATATTTCCCTTTTTCCAGTTGTCGGGAACTTCACCTGACTGCCATGATTTTTCAAATATGATGGCCAGCGGCTTAGCAACTTCATTTGCCAGCTCCTTCAGGACCCGTGGATGGATTTCATCAAGACCCATGGACTTGTGCATGTTCAGATTTTTAAGATGGTCTCAAACCAATTCCTCTCCTACAATGGGCCCAAGGTCTTCATTCTCACAGTCCCTGCGTCTGCCTTCCAAGACTTGGGTGGTGCGGTCAGAGCCTTTGCCAGTGAAGACCGAGTCAAAGAAGTCATTCAGAACCTCAGCCTTCTCCAAATCCTGTGTAGCTGGTTCACCCGAGAGCTTCCTGAGGGGGCCTATGTTCTCCCTAATCTGTTTTTTATTTGCTATGTTATCCTTACTGGTTATCCTTTTAATTGTTAAGTTATCCTTACTGGTTTTGCTGAACTAATATTTGCCTACATTTTTTATAATAGGACTGTGTGGTAGGTTGGTATGTACATATCCACTAAATATACATTGCAGTTTGTATTATGCAAATACTGAAGAAACAAGCAAATCTCCAAGGTGGCTATGAAGCAGGAATTGAAGCAAACTGGAAGGAGAAAACACTAGTTATAAGAAAAGAACAGAAATCATCAATGAGCATATACATATTGTTATATTTTCTCCTCATCTCCATTTAGTAACTTGCTAATATAACAGAGATCCCAAGAGTAATGGAAAATGTCTTGTTTAATAAGTTTTGTTAATTTATACAGTTTATATGTACAGAATTAAAAAGATCAGACTGGATAGGTTTAGTTAGCCCAAGTACTGATTAAAGAACATCAGCTGCCAAAGGCACTAGGCACAGAGGAATCCTTCTAATGAATTTACATATAGTTTACATCCATTAACTGATTAGATGAAATATCATAAGACCCCAAGGTACCTGTCTTCAAGCAGAACCATCAAGCATATTTGCATACAGAATGTCATTTTAAAAGACGGACAAGCTGATTTCTGGTTGCTGCAGATCTGGGTAGAAGAAAAGCAGGATAAAATAGAGGAACTGAGAGGAGCTGGGACTGAAATATCCTATGACAGGAGTGCTTCCTGAAAAACGTTGTCACTAGCTCTCAAATCCAACTGTCTTAAAAGCAAAGATCAGTCCTGGGAACCTTCAGCAGACTAATTTCACAACAGCCTGTAGTCCTGATTCCAGCTGTAGACTCCAATCGCTTTTCTTGAACCCAGCTCATGGCACCCAGATGAGAACCAGTTCAAGATGCCAAGAACAAGGTTTTCCAGCATACCTTCTGGATGGAAAAATATTTCTTTTTTCTTTTTTCTTTTTCTTTTTTTCTTTTTTTCCTTTTTTTTTTTTTTTTTTTAACCCTGTGATTAATATTTTCCAGGTTTAGCTGTTAAGTCCTGCTGAAGAAATCTTTCTCCAGCCAGTCTGATGGAGACCTTCACATTGATTTCAACATGTATGAAAAGATAACACATTTAATATATCTAATACAGGTGCATAGTTAAGAGCAGCCATCCTTGCCATGCCTATGAAGTTGACTGCAGTGTACCATAGTACCTTTACTGTACCTGTTAATCTACTGGAAGATCAACACAAATGTGAACGAGACAGGAGAATGGCTAATCATGTTTCTGAGAAAAGATGAAGCTTATGAATCACTTGGGATTTCAGCAACCAACACAGTGCAGTACAGCTCACTGTAAGACAACAGAGCAATGGCTAGTTGGCACTAGTCAATAAATACTGAAGAAAGTATTTTATACACATTTCCTCAAACCTGATTTTTAACACTACCTTAATGATATCTGCAAAATTTTGAGAGATACTTATGTTTTTGATTTTTTTTTTTTAATTTGTAAAGATTTGCACATAAAGCAATTTGTCCATAAATATTCATGACTGCAAAAGTGCAGGAAGTTTCAGGCTAAGACTGTTCAAATTTTTCTGTTTAGAAGCAAAAGTTATAACACATGCAAGAAGAAAAAAAGGGTGCTCAATTTTAACAGGTTATGAAAGATGATCAAAGAACAATTTAGAAAATTAATTTATGAACAACAAACAAAATTAAATTTCTGCTGAGCTGATAAAAAAATAGAAGGGGAAGGAAGGTGGGGGAATAGAAATCCAGACATTAATATCAACAAAACACGTTACTGTGGTGGGTAAGGGTCTTCATTTCTATCCAGCTGTCACATCTGACAAGCCAGATATTTGCTTTTTGAGCAATTTTTTTTGAAGTTCAACTCCAAACAGATATTTTGTGGAGAAGTGGTCTTTTGGAGTTTAAGGTTTCCAGCACCTATGGGTCGTAACCAAACTGGGCCATATTATTTAGTGGCTGTAGTCAGGAAATGAGCAGTTTAAAATATCATGTTAAGACTCATCAAGATCTTCAAAATATTTCTGATGCTGGTGTTGACATTTCAAGTGCATAAATTCCACTGCTACTGAAGTCCAACTCTCATGCCAGTAAACTTGTAGCTTTCTGTTAGCTAATATTTCTTAGGTGCATAATTCTCTTCCTACACAGTGTATGGAACAAAAATCCCACTCCCAGCTGTTCCTGCTGGGGAAAAAGACAAGTGAAGGCAAGAAATTGAGAAACAAACTTCCAATATTGCTTTATTTTCTACATAAGTATTTGAGGTTACTTATTTTCTGTTCCTGTGCCTGAAGATTTGTCTAAAAGATTTTTTAGTTTGCTTTGAAATAATTAGGTTATTTATTTTAGTGATATGTAATCTTACAGATTTTATGAATAATTTTCAACACCGCAAACTTCAGGTCAACATTGATTTGACTGTATTTCCAGAAGTTGTTTCATTCTGTACTCATGGATTTACATTTCTACCCCTTTGAAAGGTTCATTTTTATGTTTGTTTTTGGCAGAAACAATCCACTGTTAAGCATCAAATTTCAGCTTGATAATAGTGTATTAAGTAAACTCACATGAATTGAACTATAAGCATTAATTAAACGCAGATTATTTTAGTAAATGTAAAAACCCCTTTGCCTTAGTTTGGCTTAAGTGAAACAGTTCAACCTATACCCACCTAAACCAGGGAGCATGAGAGATGCATTCAGGATTACAGACCTCTTCTTTCCATTTCCTCTGCCTCTCTCCCTTAGCTGATAGTTCTTTCAGGATATGCTAATGTTGTCATTACATAGCCCATGACTTCTTTCTGAACTAAAAACACCAGCTAGAGTGAAAGATTTCTCTCTGAAAGACTAGTTGAGAGGTCACCTGAGAGTAACAAACAGAACTCCACTGTGTTTTCTGAGTTGGAGTATTTGTGAACTTATGAAAGAACCATGGAGATGTACAGCAGGGTACAGATGAGCCATAGCATTTCGATTAGAAAACATAGGGGGGTCTAGGGAGTTGAAATCAAGGGCTGAATAAAAGTTAGTAAAAGCTGTGAGAGAGAGGCCAGGAAAGCAAAAGGCATCTGGAGCTGGGCCATCTTCCAAAGCCAAAGCAGTAGTTATTGATGATTAGCAAGAAGACCAATATAGTATTTTCACACTTATGTGAGGATTTTGCTATAGGGTACTAATTACCTCTTTATATTGTATGGAGTCTACATGTTAAAAAAAGCCTAAGAAACATTTGGTTATTATTCATTGCACATTGGGCATTTCCCAGGTTGTTATTGGGTGATAATTCTTCAGCATTCTCCCAAACACCAGACGTACTCCTAAAAGGCGAGATGTCAGTAACGTTGACAAAATGCACTGCGCAGAAGTTGTCAGCATTTCAGTGCTGAGCATCAGGGATCCCTCCTGCAGTGTAACATATTGATGCCTGGGAGCCAGCTACCTGCCCTCTCATTAGCACCAGGGCACTCCCAGTGTCAATGCTAGACAGTAATGAGCATGACAGGGCACTGCCTGGGGGATATATGCCATTGACAAGGTGCCCCTCCTTACCAACAGTTTGCAACCACTGGGTGATCCAGTGAATGTGGTAGGGCAACCTCTGGCTTCAGATTGCCTAGAGACATTCTTATTGTTCCTGTCTTAGAACATCACAAGTATGATGTCTCAAGGCATTGCCTTACACATGCTGTACTCTCTTAGAAATGCTTCTAAAAACATTAACTGACCTATCAGTGGCAATTAATGAGAAAGCTCCTTCACAGTAACTCAATGTGTTCGACTCTCTTTAAGCATAACATCTCCTTGTATCTTCATTTGATTTTAACAAAGGTGTATTTCCAATAAGGATCATATTGCAAGCAAGAAGACCCTTCCAATTTAATGCAAATTTGGAGACCAGAATGAGGTGAATAGAACAGTATTCATAACATAGTGCCATTGCAATGGATTTGTAAACACTCTCCTAGCATTACAATGCTGTCAGGTAAATAGATTTATAGCATACTGGAATGTGAGACACCAGAACAAACACTTGAGGCGTTCAGATAAGTTTCAAATAATTCATATTTTGCAGTGTTTGAGATACTCTGTCAAATTATTGCCCATGTTACCTGTCTTCTCTTATTTTAGATTCAGCTCAGGAAGGCTTTCTCTGTGTTCATCATATCCTCTTCTGTTTCAAAACAGACATAGGCTAAAGCATTTGCTGAATTGCATCCAAAATTTTATGGAAGAGAAATGGTTCAGCCTTGTGTTTACTCAACCCTTCCAAAGAGGAGTTTTCAGTTTTAAGGCTTCTTTTTTTTTTTTTTTTTTATTTTTGTGATCTGGGAGAATGAAAACAAACACACAAAAATGTCATATGTTTGCATGCTTTGCTCTGGCTAACTCAATGTGTGGCCTTTCACATATCACTTTGCATAAAAGTTACTGACGGCTTTTCTAGAGTCAGGAAGAAGGGCTGGCCCTGCAGGATTGTTGGTTTTGTAGAAGCCTCTTTGCAAAGCACCTTTTCCAGGAAAACAAACACTTAACTAAATCACTGCCTTTTAAGGGATGAACTTTATACCCCAAACTCAAGTGGATTTGAAATCTGCTTGAAGCAAATATAATTCAAATCTTGAAGGTATAATTAAATGGCTTCGGTTGGGATGAAACTGCTCTCATGGTAATTCTACTATTAATGAATTTTACTAACCCCTGAAGATTTTCACATCAGAGCTGGGTCAGCTGATTTAGTTGGGAAAATTTCTTTCCATTTATTTTCTTATTTGTTTTGTCAGGTGGAAGAAACTCTATAGAAAACCTTATATGCTCATTATTTCTAGAAAATAGTTGACATTCTGAACAATTTCTAAATTTAATGAATCTCTCCACAACTGGCATTCATTCACAATGTCTATTGAGGGTACTACATTCACAACAGCACAAAATTGAAAGCAACTCTTGATGGTATGGAATCATAACACATGATGTAATGACATTTGGAAAATACTCATTAGGGAAGAAAATGGCAGAAAAGATATGTTATGCTGTATCTTGTTTTTCATGGTTATATTTAGTCTTTTACCAAGCATTGTATTTGAAGGTGGGGAGAAAAAAAAAAAAAAAGAAACTTGCAAAGCAACTGATTTCCATGATGAATTTGATCAAACAGTAATAGACTACTGACAGATGTGGTATAAAAGGAACAGGGTCAAGTGATATAGCTGGATTGAGGATGAATAGTAGGTCAATGGCAGAAGTAAAAACAGGACCCAGTACAAAATGGGATGCCTGGCAGTTTCACAATTGCTTTCTCTTTCCTGGAATTTCGCTTTAATAATCTAACATTGAAATTCAATTTGGATGACTTAATGTCCTGCTAGTCTTCAGCAAGTGATAGTCAGAAACCATAAGATTTCTGCCTTTGAGTGCCAGCTGTCTTTTACAGGGTAAGTTTTAGAGGGTTACCTGGAATGAGAATTTGATCTATGATGACAGTTTCTGAGCCCTGCTGCTTTTAGGGAGCATTACACAGTCTCCATGAACAGTGGTTAGACTCAGGTAGAAAGCCTCCTTCCTGCTCTGCATCTCAGGGAACCAGGTCACATTCTAAGAAAATTTAATTCTACTACCTCTCTTTTCTGTCAGGAAGAGAGCTTCCTGAATTACTTAAGCTTAACAGGGGAAATACAGTAGCGTAACCAGAAAGGTTTGCCAATGACGTTCTGGTAATTTGTACATTAGTTTATTAGGAAGGTTGCATCTTGCTCTGCCTTTGAGACACTCAAATAAACTGTAGAGATGTTTTTGGTTGTTTTGCTGGGTTTTTTTTTCTCCCTTCTAAAAGGACAGCATTAAAAAAGGATACTGTAAATTAGTTCCATAAAAGGGGGGATATTTTTACATATTTGTAGATGAATATTCTTTTGTTTAACTATTGAAACTAATTTCCTTGTTTTAAAGATAGGTAAACTGGGAGTTAAATTTCAAACTGGAAATGAGTTTTCCAGCCTTCCATGACAATTTCTGGAGATTTTGGAAAAATACTTGTTTCTAACTTCCACCATCTTGTGCAGGATTTGGAACTGCAGATCTCACACTTTGTACAGGCCATTTGTATTTACCTATCTAATCTGGCTATATTAAGATTTCTAGCATAAAACTGTCCTAGCTGGAAGTAATGAATGTATGTAAACTGGAATGTATGCAATGCAGACCATTTCATGAACTATGAAAAATCATCACAGCTTATTATCTTTAATGACTATGACTAAGTTATGCTGCTTTTCTGAATACAAATGAGTATGTGTGTGTGCGTGTGTATGAGCATTAGTGTGTGTACACATTGGACACTGTATCTAATTGTTCTCAGAGAAATGGAGACTTGTGAAGCAAGTGCAGTTTCACTAATTTATGTGATACAGTGCTTTTCCCACAATAAGGGGTGATTCCTTGATATATTTCCATCCTAAACAGTGGCAGCTCAATGGTTTTTTTAGCTGCTGAGGATCTCAGCTGAAAATTTTTGGAGCAGAGGTATGTATTCGTGTGTGTGTGTTCATAAAACAAAGGAGATTTAAGAAAACAGTACTGTAAAAGTCAAGGACAGTATATGCTATTAATTATCAAGAAAAATACCAAGAAAATACTGACAACATAAAGCATTTCACTGTTATACAATGCAAAAGAGAAGAAGATGGCCAGTAACAAAAGTACTGCTTTTTGCAGTGCCACAGGACAGTGTACAGTGTTGGGGAAATCTGGAGAGATCCCCTGTGTGCCAGTACTTTCTGTTCAGAGCTGAACCATGGGGGAAGGTACTGTTTGTCCACCCAACTGCTGGTACGCCTATGAAGCACACTAAAAGTAAAAAGTATGGATTAATGCTGTAAATAATAATTATTGTTCTGTTATCTGACATGATAGAATTTCAATTATAGAATGCTGTACTTCTCCAAATAAACTGGATACAGCTGTCTGGACAGTGAGCTTTTGTTTGATTTTCTGAAAGAATTAGGATTTCTGAAACCAATATTTTGTGAGAATAGGTGCTAATCTTAGCAATGGGCTCTTTAATTTCAGAACATATTTAGTGAGATACCATGCACAGACTGTTTCAAGCAAGATATCAGGTCAATTCAGAAGTGAAGGTTCTAAGCCTATTGCTTGAAAAGGCTAAGTTCAAGCCACTGCTAT